AGACGCAAAAAACACATTGTAGTTTCACCAACGTTGCTTAACTTTAAGCTTAGCTTAATACATTCTGTCTCTTGCTGTAACTTTAGAGAAAGACAAACGTGAATTAATCTAAACTAAGATTAAAGTTAAACGACGTTTGGTGAGAAAAGCCATGTAGATTAATTTTAATCTCGGTTCAGTCTACTTTTATCTTTTATTAATTCATAGAACTAAAGAGATATATAAATGACATACCGCAAGAATTTTTTAACAAACCAATATTTGTCAGACGTAAAAATTAAGTTTATGAACCGTGAATTTAATTCTAAATCATGACATTAGGCTTGTTTCCTGTTACTACACTGGTGAACTAGTGCAATAAATTAGAGCAAGTATATTTTTCTCATTCTAGCATACTGCACTAGTTCACCAGTGCAGGAGCAGAGAACAAACATTGTATCCCTCGGGGAAGCAGAAATAAATAAGCTTAACATAAAGCTCCATTCTTCATAGTGGTGGCTCGGCAAGACGCTTAGTATCTTCTCATGAAAAGGCAATTATATTACATAAATCCAGGTAGCGATCACGACGCAGAGTTAAAGAACTCGGAGAGTTCGCCTAAAGACTCGAATTCATTCAATCAAGAACGTTGGTTTTTATTTATTCGTCATTTCTACAACTTGCGGGACGACGTGTAACTCTTTGCTAAGACGAGTGACTGGTAATGGTAGGGTCCTCGGTTCGATCCCTCGTCCCGCATATTTTCCTGTCAAGAGAAATTTCAAAAATTCAGCGCTTGAAAGAGTTTAAATGCCTAGTCTAGCAGCGGACAGAAACTCAACGACGTGATGATAATGAAACCAAGAGCAAGCTACGGTTCTCAGTTTACCTGGTTTTCCCAGGAGGCCAAGAATTAACTTAGGCTGCAGTGAGTTCATTAACGAAAAAGAAATATAGAGAACCATCTTTATTTGTATTAGCTGTTGAACACATTTTACCATTTTAAATCTTAAACATACATGTTATTACCCTCACTGATCGACAGTTATATTTATTACATACGAAGCAAAATAATAACATTGAAAATCATACGAACTATTGTCATATCGTCACCGAAATATAAAGTATTGGCGGCCTTTTGTAGCTAATGCATTACAAACTAAGAGAAACGATGACTTATATCTGACAATCACTTAATAGTTTTGAATAACATGCAAATTAGATCAATTTGGGTCAATTAATTTCGAGCTTGTAAACTGCTGGCTTTGTGTCAACTGCAATTTTCTCTTTATAGAATGACTGTCATACAGTTTTTATACATTAGCAAAATTCAAAACAAATCTTTGTCCACTCAGCGTTTCTATACATACATAGGTACATGTGAAAACCTAAGCAAGATAAATTATATGTATAATGTGCTCTCGCTGAAATTTAAATAAAAACAAAATATCTCAATTTTTAAAATACCACGACCAATTTGGCGCGAAAGCGTACGGTGGATTTGTTCTGTACTGAACATTGCTATTTTTTTCAAGTGTTCTCAGTCTCTTGAAAAAAAAAAAGAAAAAAGATCCACTCACATAAACACATACCATGTGTTAGTAGAGCTTAACGCGCGTTACAATTTATCTAAAATCTAGATAAACGATTCCGATATTCTTGCTTTCTGCAAAAGTTACGGTTTACATAAATAAAACATCGTGAAACACGCAATGTTAGCTGTAGAAATGGCGCTCTCTTAAGTTTTTTTTTTCCGTCGGCGAACAGTCATAACGTTACAAGTCAATCTATTTTCGGGAATGTATTTTGATTCGCAGAAAAATATCCGTATTCTATCTCCGATGTATAGTCCAAGGTGTGTATGTGTCTATAGGTATAAGATACAATGTGTGTCCGTGCGTCGGAAACAATGAGGACTAGCAAGTAGGTGGAAATATTATGTTGCACAAATGTACCCATTTTCCAGACACCGCACCGTCGTTCTTTTCTTTTTTTGCTTTGATGAATTAGAAATATATTATTTCTAAACGTTATCGGTATATTTCCTTACCTTAGGATTCTAACGCTAAGTGAATATATAATATGTATGCACGTGGATGCCAGTACAGAGAACACGTTTTTCTTTATGCTTTACATTACATTAAATGTAATAATCGCGATATTTCCTCCAAAAATATCGGGCTCGTGTTTTACTATTGCCAATTAACAATTGCAAGAAACTATGGGAGACACACACAATCATCCTGAACACTGAAAGTTCTTAATGCAATAAACGTTAAAATGTTCCTTTTTCTGGGTTTTTCTTCTTTTTTTTTCTTTTTATGCTCGCCATCCTCCCTCTGAAAATGCACAGACGATCTGCCCTGGCTTCACACTCGGTAGTTAAAATTGCATCTATAGATTAGGTCTGTCTGTCAATAATAAACATGAGAGAATATTAGGCCGTGGCCTCCTCCGCGTCGCCGTTATTCTCGGCCTCGGCGCACTTCTCCTCGAGTCTTGACTTCTTCTCGGGACTCGCGCCGTCCTGTGCATCCTCCGCTGCATCGGCACCGGCCGTTGATTTCCTCTTTACACAGCAACTGTCGGCTGGAACAGCATCTAAAGTCGCAAACGAAGAGACACATTAACACATTGCTGGGGTTTCTTTCGCTTGAATCGCCGGATAAGATAAAAACATGTCTTTCGGCAATAGCGTACCTGTCGAGTCTCCATTTTCCGTAGATTCTGCCTCTTTCTCGTCGGTCTCCTTCTCCTCGCTCGAGCCGTTCTCTTTGGTTTCCTTAGTATCTCCATTTTCAGATGCTTTCGAATCCTCGTCAATTTCCTCCTGCACTACCTTCTCCTCTTCCACTACCTTCTTCTGAGGAGTGGTGACTTTTGTTTCCCTGAAAATCGCAACGTAGATATAACAGCGTTCTACCATACTAATCTATTAAATGCCCTACGTATAAAAGGCCTGAGTCCACGATGCTAGAACTTGGTCCAAGCTCTCGTTCCGAGAGGCACGTATAGCCATACAATTTGCAGAGCTTCTATGGAATAACTTGGATCAACTTGTAGCACCGTGGACACAGGCCTTAATACAGATTACATAACCAATCCTTTTGTTTTATAAATCGAATATTGATTGGAAAAGCATACAATCTACAAAGTAAGTCTACTAATAGTCAAGAGAATCACATTTCGTTGAAATTGTCACGTAACTGTAACTCGTCGCTGGTACAATATTGACAAAGCAAATCGCAACAAACAACAAGCTACAACCGATCGCGTGCGATCGCGAGAATCTCCGATAAACCGAAACGATCGGCCGCGAGAACGGGTCAATTCTATTCCAACGAAAGCGACGTCGCTCTCTCGCAACGCCGGCGCCCGGGGACCGTGACGGGGGGAGACACCGCGATACAAAAACCGCGGATTCGCGCGATATACGTTTCCCGTGTTTAAAATCGGCGGAGAGCCGTTGCTGGCAGGCGCGCGCTCTCCGGTATTTGCTGCCGTTTCACATTGCCGCCTGGCAACAAGGACGGCGCGACGGGGCCGAGAGAAACGGAGATAGGACGCCGCCGACAGCGGCGGCATCTAGCGTGCCTCGATATCGCGCCCTCCTCGCCCGCCCGCCCGCCGCGCCGGGATCGCTTCTCCTCTCGCGTCGCCACCCGCCGCCGTCGCCCATCGCCACTACCACCGGCGCGCCGCTCCGGCACGTCCCCCCTCCCGCCCCGCGCGTGCGCACATACACACACACTCACACGCGACGCGGAAGGCCTCAGCGTGGCGAATCGTTGGACGCTCGTCTCGCGCTCGTAAACGCGGCGTATAATGTGTAACGCCGCGATACACGCGCGCGTCCTTTTACACGGCACTCGAGACGTCCGTGCCTCACGCGAAGGATGCCGTTGCCTCCCCCCCCCCGACCCCCTGGCCGCGCTCGCGTCTTTTTCTCCGCGCCAGCGACGCGGGGAAAATTGAAATCGGCACGATCGAGAACCGATCGGGGGGATAAATATAGACGGGTCTTGTCTCCTTCGCGCGTCTATCACGGCCGGGGAGTCCCTCGGCTAGATTATACCGGTTTCGCGGCGAACTCTCCCCGTGGGAAGCGATTCGTCGTCGTCGTCGTCGTCGTCGACGTCGTCATCGCTGGCTACGTCTAATCGACGCGAGCCGGCAGGATCGATACACGTCGTCGACCGCTTTCGGGGCGACGCGCGAGACGTAAGGAAGGGACATGAGTTTTCTCTCGCCGAGAGCGAGCGAGGGAGAGAAAGGAGCCGAGACGAAGGGATCGTCCTCGCTCTCCGCGAGCGCGGCGAGGGTGGTTGCCGCGAAAAACGACGCGTGCGTTGCGTGTGCGTGTGCGTGCGCGTGCGCGCGCGCGTATACATAGACGACGTAAACAAACGAGCGAAGTGGTCGAGCGCGAGGGACAAAAGGAACACGAGGCCGCCGTCGTTGCCGTCGTTGCCGCCGCCGCCGCCGCCATCGCCGATCGGCGGCGATGCGCTCGTCTTCGATCGTGCGCGGGCGGACGACCGCGGGGGCACGGGGAGTCGAGAGGAGCGAGAGAGAAAGAGAGAGGATCCGGCGCGGGACGAGACGATGCCGCCATAAAACCGCCGCAAGTGGAGCACGCGTCGGGTCGGGTCGGATCGGGTCGGGTCGCGTCTCTCTCTCGCGCGCGCGCGCGGCGGCGGCGGCAAGGGCAGGTAATTTCCAGCGATCGTTAGGCGTACCGCGAATCGGCCCGAGAGTATTGTCGCGGCGCGAGATGGAGAGAAGAGATAGAGAGGGGCATCGCTCGCTTATTCGTTTCCCCCCCTCGCGCGCGCCGCACGTCCCCCCTTCCTCTCCTCGTCAACCTTTCTCGTCGTCGCCGTCGTTGTCACCATCGTCATCGCCGTAGTGGTCGTCGTCGTAGTCTTCGTCGTCGTCGTCGTCTCGACGATAACCCCAGAGTGATCGAACGGCGACGGTGACGAGGGTACGAGGGGACGACAACAACGGCGACGGCGACGGCGACGACGACGGCGATGGCGACGTCGACGGCCAGGAATCGACGACGACGAACGCCAAGATCGCGCGATCGGCGAGAAACCGCTTGGCGCACGTCGAAGGGAGAGGAACCGACGCCGTACGCGCGATTTTTCCGCCGTCGAATCGATACCCGCCGCCCGCCGCGTATTCACGCACCGGTGGACGCACACATAATATACTTACTTGACCTCTGTGTCAGCCATACCGATCGATTTGATCGTGAGAAATCCACGCACGTTACCGCACACGAACTCGCGCAAGCACACCTCAACCGACACGGCGGTTACGCGTCTTCTACGCACCGGTAAGCACACGCTCGGAGATTCCGGCTAACACCGCTGCCGCGTACCAACGCGCAAATGGCAGAGTGAAACGCGCACTGATTCGCCGGAGACCCGAGCGACTCCGGCCCGGCCGGCGGGCCGGCGGCCTTCAAACGCTTTTCTTTCCCGCTCGTTTACAGATGGCGCGCCGATCGCGCGCTCACGACACACGCGCGCGCACCGCGCTCGAGTCTACAACGGGGAGAAACGGGGGCCTCCGTTGGAAACGAAACGAGTAACGGGAGACGCGGGGGGAAGCGTCGGTGACGCCGCGGGAGGGGGGAGGGGTCAGGGAGGTAATATCTAATATTCATGGCGCTTAATGTCGCCGCCGCGCCGGTAGATTTTTCATGAAACGTCCGATACATCGCGGCGATAATAATCCAAGGCAAGTAAATAAATCGGGCGATTCACAAAAATACATTGAGATCAATTTTTAATCGGGCAGAGAGGCGACCTTTTTTTTTGCCACCCGTAAAAATGGGAAGATGTCACACGGTCGCGAGATAAGATACGTCGTTCCGTATCCGACCAGTAAGACAAATCGAGTGGACTGTGGAATCGTATCGATATCCCACTCCTCATTCCTGTACATCGATGCGTTTATTGCGCGGATGAACCCGTTACATTTATTCCTCGCGCCTCATGTCTTATTCAGCGATGTCTCGGTCTTTGCCATCGGACACGACTCTCTCTCGCGCGCGATACCATCTGCGAGGTACGTCCCTATCAAAACTACACGCACGCATTTTCGTAATCCACCGAGAGGGATTCTCCGCCGGTCGGATCTCGGATCGTCAACGGCGAATAGAAGCCGGCGAGGCTCGGGAGAGATCGCGTCGTTGGAGAGCATCGGCGGAAACGCGTCCAATCGCTGCCCACGCCGCGGTGGAAAGCGAGCGAGAGGAAAATAAGGGGAATATGACGTCGCGGCCATTCGATTATTCGCGGCACGGGGCTAAGCAGCGCGACGACAGCGACATCATCCCGACGTGTCGACGATCCTCCCCCACTCCTCGCGCTTCCCCCTCCGCGCCGAGCCTCGGCCTTCCCTTCCTACCGCGCGGCGCTCGGCCAATTGGATTCCACCTCGCGTCGAAAAATACGCACGCGCTTCCGGCCGCGCGTCGCGTCGCGTCGCATCGCGTCGCGTCGCGTCGGCCGGCTTTATTTTGCGCGAGCGGATCGCGTTTCTCTCGCCTCGCGCGAAAAACATCCGACTCGATGGCCGCGTCGAGAATGACTCGCCGATATCGATTGGGTCGCGACTCTCGCGCGCCGCCGGCCAAGAGCCGCGTCCTCCGGCGCGTTGGCGCGCACGCCCGCGTGCGCGACGCGCACGGCAAAGTTCTAGAAGTTTCTCTCAGCATGGCGGCGCTTCCGGTGTGCGGGAAAGGTGCGCGGCGAGAGCGCGCGGCGCATCGCCGCCCGCCTCGGCGTCCATGTTACAGGTTGCTTTTCGGTCGCTCCCGATAAAACCCGAGAGATTTCCCTCGTGGCAACGTCTCCGCCGCTCGCCGGAGAAATCGGCCGCGGCCCCCTCGAGCGGACCGTTCAATCTCTTTTCAGGAACGGGTTCCGTTCACGGTGTCCCTAGGCTTCCGCTTTTTTTAAGTATCTCGTACCACGAGAGAGAGAGCGAGAGAGCGAGCGAGCGAGCAAGCGACAGAGAGAGAGAGAGAGAGAGAGAGAGAGAGAGAGAGAGAGAGGAGAGGGGGAGTAACGAGGGGAAAGGGTCGTCCCCGAAGAAACATACACAACCATTTCCCTAGAGGTCTGACGTTCGGTTCGGGATGTAGTTATTTTGTTGCAATAATCGCGCTTTGTGAGGCGTAACTGCATTAGTCTCGCCAATTTCATAGCCCAATGCCTCTACGGTAAAATACGAAAGCCGAGTAGCGCGCCCTTCTGCAGTTCCCATCTCAATTCCCGCGAAGAATACGAAAACATCGGGAAAACATATATAAATGTGTTCCGAAAATAATACACTTTTCCAAGAAACGTTTCTCCGAATGGGGAGACCTTTCCTCCGAGGTACACTCGGGGTAATTTATTATTCTATTAATCCCGTTGTCGTGGCGAGTTTTTGGCCGCGCCACGCACACGGCAACGTGCCGTGCCGACCGTTCCGTAAATATATTTTTTGTTCTGGCACACGTGCCGGCGCGGCGGCGCGCGGTGGTTCACGTAAGCGCGTAGATAACCGGAGCGGGCGGCAGCTGCCGCGCCGCGCACCGTGCGCAGGTGAGGCAAGGCGGCCAGATGCCTCCTTCCGAGCATCTTTCGGCCGTCGAGCCGTCGAAAACTCCGGGTCCGGGTGTACCTTTACCGTACCGGAGCCTTTACGTACGGAGTCCTCGGCGGAACTTTCACGGGGGAAAGTAACAACGCGCGGCGTAGACGCGTGCGCCCGCAGCGAGAGGGGAACGTTCTCCCTCTCGCTCTCCGCCCCTGCTCGATGTTTCTCTCTATCCTCCTCCCTTCTTTTCTCATTCTAACTCTGTCACTCTCGCTCGCTCGCTCGCTCGCTGTCCTTTTCTCTCTCCTCCCGTCTCTCCCACGCGCTTCCGTCGAGGCTGAAATTCGCGGCGGACGCGGCTCGTCTCCCTTCTTCCTTTCGGCGTCTTTACGTAAGCGCCCGTCGTAATAAATTAGCAGATATTTGCTTTGTCGATCGTAATGAGGATTATCCGCACGTCGATACAAGCGTATACCTTCCACGCCGCTCGGCGCCCACCCGTGAAACTAGGTGCCCCGATAAGGGCCGTGGCCCGGTGCTTTTCATCGTGCAGGCCCGCCCCGCGACCGCGATCTATTCCGACGACGACAGTAACCTATATTCGCCGGTGGCAACACTTTTGCCACCGCCGGTGTGTCGGGGCCGCTAAAGATAGCGGCGCGCATCTAAATTTTCATTCCGCTGGACTGAATTCCGCCTCGCGCCGGTGTCGCTCTTATTAAGGTGCACTTCACCATGCACTTTCGGGTCTAGGTTCCCGAGACGCGGGTAACTCGCGACACAAACAGAGAGAGAGAGACAGAGAGAGAGAGAGAGAGAGAGAGAGAGAGAGAGAGAGAGAGAGAGAGAGAGAGGGGAGGGAGGGAGAGAGGGTGGAGG